AATTATCAAAGGCTGACTGGTCCGCGGCGATAAAAAGGTTGGGGACCACTGCTCTAAGGAAGTGGCAGGCAATATAGCTAAAACTGAAGGGGAAAAGCTGAAAGCTTACTAAAGCCTGTGGTTAACTGAAGTGACATAATGTTTAAGCTCTTCTCTTTTAACTTACTTTCCTTCATCCTTCCTGCAGATGTACCGGCTGACCCTCCGTACCAGTAAGGAGTCTGTTTCAAAGCACCTTTGTGAGCTGCTTTGTCAGCAGTTCTGAGGCATCTGCCACACCAGAGGAAAAGGAGGCCATTCCTGCACACTAGATGGCTCTGTCCATCTCATCCCAACTCTCTCCAAACCAGGGGCCTCCAGAAAGACTGTATTGCTCCCTGCCTGTTGTTTTGATAACTTGTGTGTGTGCTCATTGCCTAACCTGGGCCAGCAACAAGGGGGATATTGACTCTTGGTTAGACAAAGTAAACTGGGGAGGGGGAGGGACGATGGGTGTTGGTGCAGGGAATGTACCAGTAGTAATCATCCCCTTGGGCAAAAGGGCACATTTTGGAAGCTAGCTAGCTTTTGTCCCATGCTCTAAGCTGGTCCATCCCAACTTGGAATGAGGCTGAAATCTGTGGTCTTAATTCCCCCATTATGATTTAGGCTGGCATTTTAGTTTTGTTTATAGTATGTACCTTTACTTTCCCACCATGGACTTTTCCTTTCTGCTGAGGAAAGGGACAGCTTCCCTGGCTCCCCTTGATGTTGGCTGCGAGGAAGGAACAGGGTTATATGGGTCTATGGGGAGGCGGGGGTAATTCTTGTAGGTGGTTGTTTTGTGTTTCTTTGCCTTGCGTGTTTTCCCCAGGGATGGCGATGTAAATCCTCCCTTTCCTTTGCTATGGATCATTCCAGTGTTACAGTTGTGTGTATTTGTGAGAAAGTAATTTTGACAGCAAACTTGCCTCTTTTTTCAGCTCTAGAAGGAAAGCTACATGAAGATGAAGAGGAAAAAAGACTGTTTCTTTCATCTTCTGCCTCCCCCCACCATCTCTTCAATTCCCAGGACAGGGTGCCTCAAGCAGGTGAACGAGTTTGGAAGATGGACTCTGGAATGTTGTCTTCCATGCATTTTGGAAAAGGGAGAGGAATGGTTCAGATCGTGCTAGTTTGGGGGTGTCTCAGCTTCACATGCTGACCTGGGCTTCATGTTTACTCTGCTGTGTAGGTGTTAACTAGCGCATCTTAGTTTATCTGGGTTTTGAATGCCTGTATCTATCTCCATGTGACTAATAAAACCATGAGGCTGGGGGAGAGCCAGAATCAAGCCAGGCTGCATCACCCCCACACTGCTGATTGATTTGTTGCATACTCCTCTTTATATGTGGACAGGATGGTAGAAATGGATAAAGAGTCCCATGTTATGCACTATATTTTCACAGTATGTCTGGCCCTAGCATTTACATTGGAATGTTCAGCTAAGTTATATGGAATTAGTTACATATAAACTTAAGACCTGAGCTCCACTAGACCAAAACCTTGTCCCAGGACTGTTTTCTCCATGCAGTGAGAAGCATTGTCGCTTACTCAGTCTTCCTTTGTACAGAGAAAGGCAAATATGTACTGTATGCAGAAGCAAAGAATGTCTTCCTCACTTGGTGGTCCTTGCTTATAAACCACTTGTTCAGTGACCACTGAAACTTAAATGACACTGAATAGGTGGTACTCATGACTGGTCCTCCTACTTACAATGTTGCAGTGTCCTGCAGTCATGTGATTGCCATTTGTGACCTCCTTTGCCAGCTTCCTACAAGCAAAGACAATGGGGAAGCCAGCAGGAGGCCACAAGTGTGGCAGGAGAGTGGTAGGTATCACTCCAATCTTTCCAGTTATATTCCTCCTAAGTGTAGAAAGCACAGTCTTTGCAAAATTCCACTTTCTCATTACTTTGCCCTTTGAGATCTCCAACAGCTAAGGCCAACATAGACAGTGTTTTCATCATGATCAAAGTCTTTGAGGTGGGGAAATGACCTACCCCTCACTATGGTGACTCTCTCCCCACTCCCACTCCCTTCAGTGTCCAAGGTGCAAATGAGAGTCTCTCCACTGTATCTGGACTCTTGATTTGATTGACTTAACTCCCTCAAAACTCATGAGAACATTTTAAGGTAAGTAGACTGAAATGGCCCTACTCGATATACTTTTTACTACACAGTAAAGAAAAAAAATACTTGTATATGATCAAGGCCTTTACATGTCCTAATGAAACAGTGACAGAAGCAAATGGATAAACAGTATATAAACAGCTGGCTGTAAATGAGGGGACTACCAGTTTCAGTTAACATCAACTCTGTGATTCACACACTTCTGTTTATAGGTGAATGCATGAGAACTAGTTCCTATGTAGAAATGTATTTAAAAGGAAAATTTGGTTCAATAGCTCTAATTCTACCACAGCTTCCTTACTTTTTTATATCCTACCTTTATTATTTTTATAAATAACTAAAGACAGCAAACTTACATAATACTTCCTCCTCTTTTTCCTCACAAGAACCCTGTGAGGTGGGTTGGGCTGAGAGTGTGACTGGCCCAAGGTCATTCAGATGGATTTCATGCCTAAGGCAGGACTAAAACTCACTGTCTTCTGGGTTCTAGCCTGGTGCCTTAACTATTAGGCCAAATTGGCTCTCAAGATTAATTGCTGAATTCTACATAATAGCAATAACAATAACACTTAGACTTATATACTGCTTCATAGTGCTTTACAGCCCTCTCTAAGTGGTTTACAGTTAGCATATTGCCCCCGACAATCTGGGTCCTCATTTTACTAACCTTGGAAGGATAGAAGGCTGAGTCAAACTTCAACGGGTCAGGATCGAACTGTTGGCAGTTGGCAGAATTAGCCTGAAATACTGCATTCTAACTCCTGCATCACCATGGCCACAATCACATCAATGGCTGTGGCTAAGACTGTCCTAAGTGCCTTTCTTAGTGCATAATGTGTACTAAGTTATAGGAGACAATTACGTTAGTGCATAATGTGCATTAAGTTATGGGAAACAAAATTCTTACCAATGTTATTAAACAAATGGAGAGTAGAGACCAAAGTTAAAACTAGTCATCACCTACAGCCATTGTTAACTGTACTGCCTCCTACTTACATAAGAGGATGGAAGGAGAATGGACTCACATTGAATCATTAACTTTCTCCAGTTTCTGAAAGCCCTTCCACAGATTCAGGCTCCTTCCCTGCACCTAATCATCATTTGCATAGAGAAAATTTCATCACAACATTTGGTTGAAAAAATCATTCTAACCATACTGAGGGGTTCTAGCTGACCACAGAGTTCAACAAGATAACTCAAAAAGCAAAATTATCAGTTGTGAGAGCCTGTAGCTTTTAGGTTGGTAAGGTTCGTAAAGCAAATGTAGGCACATCTGACTTCAAGATTAGGAAGAGCTGGTGCTGGATCCCATGGATAATAGACTTTGTGTGTAGTAACCATATAACAGTGCAGAGGACAGTGGGAGAAACCAAAATGAAAGTCATCCTGCAGGGGGGCTGGAAAAAGACAGTATAATTATGTTCAATAGGAACCTCTCAGGTTTGGTATAAATGCTCCAAGGAAATGCAACAAAAAGATAAACTGGCATGTGGTATTAATCCCGACTGCTGCTATTTACTGTAAAAAGGAAACAACCTTTCAACTATTTTAGTTTATTAACGAACATACAGTATATGGCCACCTAATTTGTGCATCTACAATACAAGCATAAACTGGGAAATATCTTGGTGCCTATTGATTCTTTCAGTCACAGGGAGATTTTCCAATTTTTATGAATAGTCAAGTGACTTCCTAACATATTCACAACAGAACAATTGGGAATATACTTGGTTTTTTGCTTACTTCTCACAAGGTACAGTAGTGGTGAAAATTGTGGAAACCTTTTGGGAAAAGTAAATTTTTAAGGTCTGATGGCTAATACCGCCATTTTATTTTGGAGTAGTACCATAAAATAATATATCAATGGAAAGATAATTTAATCAAGAATGTAATGCAACAAAGTTTGTTCAATTTTCTGTATTCTATGAAAGGTTATAGCCAAATAACCAGAAAAAGGAAGCACAACTTACTAAGGTTGATATCAGGTAGCCAATGAGCATGAGTGTTTACAGAGCCAATCAGGTGTCATCTTTTGGCAATGAGCCAATCAGATCACAGTAGGATTCAGTTATTGATGTCATGTATTGAAGCTGAGAGGAGCACATTTGTCAGTGTGTTATGTGATAGCTATCAATGTGGTTGGGGTTTTTTGTGTTCTTTTATTTAGTGAGCTTGTAAAACGTAATAAAATTAAAGTAATGGTGCAAAGAGTTGACTGGCCGCCCAGGAAGCAATGTAAAATAGTATTATTAAGTGAACAAGGCTACANATGTGAGTGTATGAAAATGAAAAAATAAAAAATATTACTCAAGAATGCAAAAAAAAAAAAGAACAATTAAAAAAATGGCTGGGAGACATTTTGGTCCATTATCATGCCCATCTTTGCATGAAATGTTCCCTTCATATCTCCAATTTTCTTGAAGAGATCTCTGGTCTTCCCTATTCTGTTTTCTTCTATTTCTTTGCACTGTTCATTTAAGAAGGCATTCTTATCTCTTCTAGCTTATCTCTGGAATTCTGCATTCAATTGGGTGTATCTTTCTCTTTCTCCCTTGCCTTTCGCTTCCCTTCTTTCTTCAGCTATTTGTAAGGCTTCCTCAGACAGCCATTTTGCTTTCTTCCATTTCTTTTTATTTGGGATGGTTTTAGTTGCTACCTCTTGTACAATGTTGCGAACCTCCATCCATAGTTCTTCAGGCACTCTGTCTATTAGATCTAACTCCTTAAATCTATTTGTCACCTCTACTGTATATTAATCAGGGGTATGATTTAGTTCATACCTGAGTGGCCTAGTGCTTTTCCCTACTTTCTTCAATTTAAGCCTAAATGTTGCAACGAGAAGCTCATGATCTGAGCCACAGTCAGCTCTTGGTCTTGTTTTTACTGACTGTATAGAGCTTCTCCAACTTTGGCTGCAGACCAGATAGTCAATCTGATTTCTGTGTTGATTGTCTGTTGATGTCCATGTGCAGAGTTGTCTCTTGGGTTGTTGGAAAAGAGTGTTTGCTATGACCATTGTATTCTCTTGACAAAATTCTACCAGCCTGTGCCCTGCTTCATTTTGTACTCCAAGGCCAAACTTGCCTGTTATCCCGGTTATCTTTTGGCTTCCTACTTCAGCATTGCATCTCTAAATAACATTTAGGTAAAATGTTAGTAGTCCCTTAAAATCATACCATCTTATTTAATTTTTTAAAATTTACTTTGGTTTGGAGGTTCGCTGATTGATATAGCCACTGCAATACCAACTGCAGACTTGTGTATTGTCTGAATTCAGGCACTTTTGATTAAATAAACCATTGGCATAATCAAGAAAGTATGGGCCAAGGCTATCCCATAATACATTTCCATCCTTCCAGGCCGTATGTACCTTTTCTATGGGAACAAAACATCTGTCCAGTTCCAGAGTTTCTCACCAACAGTCAGCTATCCTGGCGACCTGCAGAGCCATATCCTTTTATGTATGGTGTTACTAGTGGGAAGAAGGGTTTGCTGGGGTGGCTTTCAAGTCTTCGGGTTTTCTGTTTGTATGCTGCTCAGAAGCAGTGGTAACCTTTTCCTTAGCCCAGCTCACAGCTCAAAATTCAGACAAAAGCAGTGGAGCCACTGGTGGAGGGAGGGGCTCAGGTTCAACAGGTCCTGAACATTGAATGCCTGAGCGATTTCACAGAGAGCCCCCTCATCAACATCAAATTTGGGTATCATTGCTTGACATCTCAGCCAAACCCTCAGCTCTAAGGGCGAAAGAGTTTCTATATTTAAGTAATCAAAGGCATTTCAAAGTGGCTACAGTCGGAGCATACGTAGCTACCTATGTCCT